ACATACCTCTGGTGCATTTGCCTTTGACGGAGAGCAAATGCTTCCTGCTGTGATCCAGTGGCATGACTTGGGCTCTGGAGATGAGGATGATGCGAATTGCCAAGCACATGTGACTGCTGTGACATCTGATGCTGCTGAGAAGGATGGCCTGGGTAAGCCTGAACAGGAGTTGTCGGGTTAGTAAATCCAGAACTCAAACTACTGAAAGCTGGGATCCCCTGACTGTTCCCTTGGGCAGCCTGCATCTAAAACTCATGCATATCAGTTTTATCTTCAATGGATTGTTCTTGATGTTCTCAAACAGGTTCAAAATGTCAATCAATCAGCAGTAGACAAAAATCAGAAGCGTTGAACGACTACAAACTGATAGTTGGTCTGGGTAATTAGGCTAAGTTCCTGCATGCGAGATATCTTAAAAACGAAGTTTAATCATTAACATAACAGCAAACAAAAGCCAAATAGCTTACCCGCATCATATGCTGCACAGCTTCACGAGGCCTGAGCATGGAGTTTCCTTGAGAAGCTCCTCCTCCAGAATGAATATTTCCAGTGTTTGGAATTCCCACCATACCAGAGGAAAGCATGCTACCAGTACTTGGCATTGCTGATGAGCCCATCCCTTGAAAACCAGGTCTTGACATGGGTGTGCTCCTGTTCATTCCACTAACACCCATAGCATTTCCACCAGGAACCATGCGATGTCCAGTTCCTGAGACAGCTCCAGGAATTGATAAAGAAGGCTGCTGCAGGTTTCTACCAGATGACATCTGATTAAATTGTTGGAGTCTGTGTTGTTCATCAAGTGGCAAAGACCCTCTAGGAACATTGTACCTACCATCCCTAAAAGGAAAAGATATATCACCAGCCAAAAGAAGTAATAACCCTCGAGTAGATTGAGCAGAGATGCACAAACGTGTGCATTTACCAAAACAAACCTGACAGAAGCACCGTGTACACCAGATGTGGTTGGTAAATTGTTGCCGAGAACCCCACCAGAAGATCCAGGAGTGGATGGATTTGCTCCAGAATTAGGAAGCACTGGCATCCCCGGATTCAACGCTGGAAGACCCGGATGTGAACCTGGATTTTCAAGTGAAAATACATCCTCACCTGGAGTCGAAGCTTCACAGACATCAAGGGGCCTTCATCCGGACAGTATCAAAATATTAGTATTGCGGTGGTGGTAATCAGTAAATATATGATTTAAGGAAACACCGAAACTTACGTTAGGACTCCTCCATTCAGATTATTCGGGAATACTTGAGAAAGAGCCATGACTTGTGAATTGTGAACTGATACTATCTGCTTAGGATCCCGACCATCATTCTTGAAGATAGATGAAATAGTAGCCAACATACAGAAGCAGCAACAAGAAAACAGAATTAGGGCCTTAGAAGGTTTAAATTTCAAACTACAATATCATGGTTCAGACCCCTCTGGCATTCTTCCAACAATTRACTCAAAAAAAAAAAAAAATTGGACTACAGCACCCATCATATAATCTAGTTTATGCTACACACGCGGCATACACAAGGAACTATCATTATTGCCAGTTTCCACTAGTATTAGGTTACAAGCTTTGAAACAGTAACAAAGCACTAGGTGAACCAACCTGTGTCTTTCTGTAATGAAACTTCTTCCCAATAGAACAAAGCTTCTCAAAATGGGACTTCAGGGTATCTTCCTCCATTGGCCCTTGCAATCGCTGAAACAACTGTCTCGCACTTCCCTGAATATAACAAACATATCCAGGGCATTTTAAATTAGTCAAAACATAGAGGACACTTTATTCAGCGCCTAGAGCTAAAGAAAAACCTTCGGGATGCCAGGCAAAGTGGATGGATAAGACTGAGAAGTCCCCGAGTCCTCAGCACTATCAGCCCCATCACCAGCATTCCTATCCATCAGAATCTTATGACGCTCCTTGCACTCACTTGGATTACGATATATACACTGGAAAATTAAAAAAATGTAGATCAAACACGGCAAATCAATCCACCAGCAACAAATCCCAAATGTTCCGTGATATGACCAATATCCTCAACAAAAATATCTAGCACAACAGTTCATTAGAATAGAAACAAACAGTATGATCTTTTGATATATGGCTCTGCCACTCAGATGGAAATGTACCAATTAAAGAACCCCAAGAATTTTTTCAGAACAACAAGCACTTACCTTTATTTTAAGGGTGCTGTTCATTGCATCACTAATCAGCTCCCAGTTAGGGCCCATATCATGCACCAGGACAACAAGCGCCTAAATGGTGGGAAATAAATTAGATACTTATAGAGCAACCTACAGTACAATGGTGTTAATGAAGGTGACGAATAAAAACCTGATCCTCAAATAGTGACCACGGATTTCCAGAACCATGCTGGCCAGGAGAAATCTGCAAACATACTTCTAGTTTAAAACAAGTATCTTAAAATAAACCGAACGGAGAAGTTAGCAAACCGTCAATATACCTTCAGGCCTTTTATTTTTCTGCCCCTATCACGACTTCCATTAAATTTGATAGATTTGTTAGGGTTGGACATATTGCTCATCTGAGAAGCTGCTGGAGAAGGAATTGATCCAGTGAGAGGAATGGCACTATCAAAATTATTCTCTACCAATTGCTTGGAGGTCTTTTGCTTCTTTGCACTATGAGGACCATACAGACCTTATAAAAATACAATTAAAAGATGTGATCTTTTTAGTTAGCCATAGGTAGGAAAGATGCCCACTCTTCTGACAACAGAATTATAAACTCATTATAAAGCAGCATGGAGACATAAAAAGGGAAGATGTCGATAAAGCAACAAACTCATGTTAGTTTCCAGTAATCCAAATTACAACCTTCTACTATAGGTTTTAACAACTCCATAATAACCATTACTTTGGTTTTATAATTGGTGGTTAATAAGATGTGCGCAAAAAAGGCTGCTTAAAGCATAATATCCTCTATAATGACTCCTAGCCTATTCACAACCTTTGATTGATTTATAAAGGAAAAAGGCTGCTTCGCCCAACCGCTGAAGAACTACAATGCACAAGAGAGTAAAGAAGAATATGCAAATAATACCATTCATATCGAAATGATTCTCTGCTCGCTTCTTCCAGTGGTCCTTCTGCGAAAATAAGGACGAATTAGAATCCTCTCTGGGAAGACAATTATCAGCACAGTGCACATATTTCCTAAATATTATAACTTAAAAGTTCTCATTCCAAGAAATATGCAACTGTCAAAAGCCACCTCTTCAAGATAAAAAGCGGAAACAAAGAATAAATTTGTTGAGTATTTCAATCCCAAGAGTAGAACTCAAGCATCAAACCACTCCAGCATGTAGCAAAATTTTCATTTGACATTGATTATAGAACACAACACCTGAACTCTGGTGTGCTTTCCCTATACATTTGTTCAAAATGATTCTTAAGATTTTACCAATAAAATCACCTGTTCAGCATGGACTGAAGAATCAAGATGCCAGGTTTGGTCATATGCAGATCCCTGCAACAAATGAAATTGCAATTACAATGCAATGTAAACTAAAACTGATGGTAACTATTTTTCCACAAAAAGCAAGTAAGAGATGTGCTGATATTGCAAACTACCAGATGAGTCTTCTTCTTCTTTTTAGGTTTTGCTGAAATTTCAGTCATGTCATAAAGTAACTGCTTCTCAAAATTACCACTTRAATCAACCTCTGTGCCTTTTTGAACTGCCGATCCACCATGCAAACTACTTTGTTCATCCTGAAAAGAGCTAGTATCCCCACTAGACGCATCTGTTTTTGAGGGCACTGGTAAACTCCCAGCAGTAGCACAGCCAAAAGGACTCACAATCCTCTGCCTGGAGGCAGTGCGCAYGCGCCTCGTCGGAACTGAGCCAACAYTGTTATTACTGGCAGGCCTTTTTGCCATCAAATTCRATGAGTTAGACCCACCTGTGTAGTTGACGTATGRTAWATCAGCTCCAAGATCATATGACCGRGCAGAATGAGACTTCATCAAATTCTTCCGTTTTTTGWGGCTTAGGTTAAATGATTTGCTACTTTCGAAAGCTCCAGGAAGATAATAGGTACTTGTTTCTCCTTCATCCTCATCAAAGGCAGTGACATCATATCCTATATCTACAACGGAGATAAAAGATCAATAAATACTTAACCAGCACGCACAGCTCAAACAACTAAGAATTGTACATACCTCCAGCAGCATCATAGGCTGATGTATCAACCTCCTCCTGCATGCTATTTCCAGATTTCTGGGAACAGAGAAATACTGTTAAATATCTTTGGATAACAGATAAATTCTCAGAAAAATATATGTAATCAAGGTCACAATATGAGAGCCCTAGCACAGAAAAATCTCACACCTCACAGCGTGCGAGATGAGTCTCAATGGACGTGTGGTACACCTTCATTGCACCAGATGGAACTGAATAAAAGAGGCTTTTCTGCACAGTAACGAAAGTCAATCAGCAATATTGTAGAGCTATTCATAGCAATAGTTTTCAACAGAGGCAGAAGAATAACTTCTAAAAAAAATCATACTTCTGTAAGCTGATCAACCAAAGATCTATCCAATATTTCTGGGTCACACATATGGTAGGATGTTGACAGTGMAGCTGAATGATAGGGAATAGAACAGTTGTTATACTTCAAAAATCTACTTGCATACTCCTGGACACCCGCAGCTAAACATTTTCTGCCATTCTCACAACTAGATTCTTGGCACGGCTCCTGCGTACGACCACAGTATTACTATGCAAGATACCATTAAATTTTTACAAAATTGTAACATAAGCAACAGAGCCAAAGCATCCTGGAGGTAAATTAGGAAAACAATTCAAGCAAATAAGTAGATCTGCCTTAGCAATCATAGGAAGGAAATATCTGCAGAATTGGGTAGCTTACAAGTCCGATCATAAAATCAACAATATGGTTCCAGGACATCAGTGTTGTCAATGCTTTAGCCCAACAAGTG